GAGACAACAAAGGGTAAGCTAGTGAAAAGAAATCAGTATACATATATGGCAATATGATAGAAAATAACTACAGCTATCAACATAACAACACAACTTATATTACACCACAGCATTCAACAATATCAGCACCGCAAAGCGACAATAACAGCACCACAATAGTGGCTAATAACAGCACCGACATAACGGCTATAACAGCACCACAATAGTGACTAATAACAGCATTGACATAGAATATATATGAAAAATGTTAATATACTCCTACCTATTTTTTAGTTGGAGTGTGTTACACTAATGGAAAAAAGACTTTTAAAATCGGTTCTTTAACCAATTTTGAAAGAGCCGATTTTAAAAGTCTAACTTTTAAAATCGTTTGTTTAACCGATTTTAAAAGTTAACTTTTAAGATCGGTTGTTTAATAACCGATCTTAAAAGGCTGGCTGGGAAAAAAAATTAAACTGGAACGGGCCGTTCCAATTTAATCAAAAGACCTAAATTTAATTTTAAGTACGGCGCGTTCTCCTTGGAGAACGGCCCGTTCCCAAGGGAGAACGTCTCGTTCTCCATGGAGCACGGCCTGTTCCCAATGGAGAACGGCCTGTTCCCAAGGGAGAACGGCCCGTTCTCCTTGCAGAACGGGCCGTTCCAGGTTCGAAATTTAGCCAAAATGAGCCTGAAATAGAGAAAAAAAAAGCGTGAGAAAACGAAAAGAGACACAATAAGAACATGAGAAGACGAAAATCAAAACGAAAACGACAACAAAATTTATCTTATTGGAGACTTTAGAAAATGAGAGCGTCACAGATTAAAAAGAAGAATGAAGGGAAAGATTAAAGAGAATGAGAATGGAAAGGAATATTAAAGATTTATGACGATACTTTTAAAATCGGTTATTGAAGAACCGATTTTGTATACTACATACAAAATCGGTTCTAAAATAACTGATTTTAAAAGTAGCACTTTTAAAATCGATTCTTAAATAACCGATTTTAAAAGTAGCACTTTTAAAACCAGTTATAGAATAACCGATCTTAAAAGTACTTTTAAGATCAGTTATTCTATAACCGATCTTAAAAATGCTATTTTTAAAATCGGTTATTTTATAACCGATCTTAAAAGTGACACTTTTAAGCTCGGTTCTTTTATAACCGATCTTAAAAGTACTTTTAAGATCGGTTCTTTTGTAACCGATCTTAAAAGTGTCATTTTAACATCGGTTAAATTTTAACCGATCTTAAAAGTGTTCATTTTATTTACAAATTTGCCACCGCGTCACTTTTAAGATCGGTTACCTTATAACGGATCTTAAAAGTCTGATTTTAAATCTAATTTTTGCACTAGTGTTAGTAACCTAAACAAAAAATTAAAAAAAAAAAACTACTCATTTCTTTTGATTTGATTAATTTGTATAAATGATATTATAGTAGTTTAATTTAATTTTAAATGAAAATAAAATATTTTCTCTTTCTTATTAACTTCATTTTCTAAGTCATTTCTTTCTCTTATTCAATTCCTTCTCCAACCCATTTCTCTTTCTTATTAAATTCTTTCTCTAACTTAGTTATCTCTCTCGTATTAAATTTTTCCTTTAACTTATTTCTCTCTCATCTCTCATGATGTCTCCTCTCTCTCTCTCTGAACAAGTAAAAAATTAATTAATAGAAAAAAAATGAATTGGAGAATGAAGTTAATAAGAGAGATAAAATATTTTTTTAAATTAAATTAAATTACTATAATATCCTTTGTACAAATTAACGAAATCAAAAGAAATGAATGGTTTTCTTGTCTTAAAATTTTGGTATAGGTTACTAATATACTCTAACTAAAAAATAAGTGAGAGTATATTAGCATTCTCATATATATATATATATATATATATTAATTTTATTTGTAATAATGATTAACCAAAGACTACTGATATTATCCATTTTGGCTCGAGGGTGATTTGGATTTCGTAGGAGAGTATTAGGTTCTATTATAGTCTGGGTGGGTTTTACAGAGGGGTTTACTTTTGTAAAACGAGGGATGATTTGATTTCTAAAAAATATAATAAAGGAGGATGATTTGATTTCTAAAAACCAATAAGGGTGGATGATAGATTTTTGAATTTTTTTTTTATAGTATGTGATCCTTAAAATTTTCACTTATGTTATACAAGTTGCTTCTTTTGTTATATTTAATTATTAATTTTGTTAATCTGATAAAATATTAATAATTAATTGATACGTTGACATATTTTTTTTTCTTCAATTGGTATCTAACAATTATAAATTAATTAGATTTAAACAGGTGATAAAGTAAAATTTAATTTAAAAATAATTGAAGTGACGTTTCAATAATTTATTTCTTCTCACTCATCTCATTATTATTAAACTCTTTTTCACTTCTATCATATGAGTTTGTGATTCATCAAACATAATAAAAACATCCATATTTAATTCATGCATCTTAACACTTAAGATCTTTTTAAATGACCATCCATTTTACTAAATCTCAAATTAATAATTTAGGATTTACAATTTTAAGCATGTAAGGATGACTAGAACAGAAAAATCCAACTACAGGAAACTCTATGAAATCCAACAAAACCCTTTCATTTTAATCAAAGGATCCAAGATGAGAATATTTAAAAATGACAAAGTATTTATTATTGATTGAAAATTACTAAAACCTTGTATTGTGATCCATAATAAATAATTAAGAGAGAGAATAACCAACCGAAAGAAAAAATCTTTCAAATGCTATAAAAAATTTAGAGACCCAAATATTACAAAAATCTTTCACAAATCAAATTGAGTATTTAATTTTTAAAGTATTTAATTTGTAAGTTAAAATGAGATAATTTTACACCATTATTCTCGATAATTAATATAAAGTATAAGATGATTATAATATTCCAACATATTTATTATATGAATAAATAATTTCTGCATGATTTCATAAAAAAAATATTATTCAATTCATTCTTCAATATTAAAAGTTTTAAAAAATTTATGTCCTACAAATATAAATAATTTCTTAATTATCAATTTTGAAATACTACACAATTTATGTGCCTAGACAAAAGAAATTATCATTTAATTACAAATTAATATGAATAATAATTTTATTGTCCGTTAAAATAGTTATCTTGAAAAATATAAGAAGGATTTGTAAATAAAATAATTAAAAATATTTATATATATTTGAATTTTATTATATATTATTTATTTTTTTATTTAAATTTATTGTTAGCATAAAATATTTTATACAAATATTTAATAAAAAAATTATTATTATCATATGATCTATACTATTAATAAAAAAAATATATTTTTAGTGCATACTTATTATTGAATATTTTACTTATAATTTTTAAAATACTTTTTTTTAATTTAGTTTTCATTACAGATTCTAGTTAACAACTCAAAACTACTTGTAATTACCTTCAATCCTTTAAGCGAAATAAAAAAAAAAAAAGGAAAAATAATCTATGAACTAACTCCATCATCAGGACACCATGGGAAGTGCGAGATCACTCCAAAGATGCTTTCAATATCTAGTTAACCACTCTCTCATATTTAATTAACATCAAATGTATGGGATATGAAGTGCCTTTTGCACAATAGTATTAATAAATAAATTAGTGTAAATTACACTTGTATCTCTTATGTTTTTGTGAGATTGTAATCAATACTCCTTTGCTATTTAGATCTATAATGAGACTCTTTAAAAGTTGAAAAAAATGTTACACTTGCACCCTTTTGATTCCCTTTCCTTCAATGAGACCTTTTAAAAGTTGAAAAAATGCTACACTCACATCTCTAAGTTCTTTTTCCTTCATGGAGTCTTTCTCAAGTTCTACCACCACCTTATCCTCCTCCTTTAGCACCTTGTATTGTCGAATACACAAGCTAGTATATGACTTTCCAACTCAAGAAAGAAAACACATCTAGATCAATGCAATTTGTATTTGGTGAACTTTGAGGATAAAGGATTATGACATTTCGAATTGTGACATTGTTGTTCATAAAAATAAAATAAAAAAACTTAAATCCCCCCTAATCATGAAAGTTTCATTATTGCATAGTTTTAAAATGGTAATTTAAGTGTAAGAAGTTCACCAAATAAGTATGAAAATATAAATTTTTCTTCTTAAGGGAACAAACTTGCAATATGCAAGGTGAATAATCCAAATGGTGAATTCAAGAAAGTAATATTTGAAACGAGAATCCTAGTTGAATAAGTCAACTAATATACTATAATAATTAATTTCAATCAAATATTATAAATATGAATTTAATTACTCATTTGTTAGAAAATCATACCCTGACCTATGTATTTGACAATGCAAGGTGCTAGAGGGGAAAGAAGAGGAGGAGGAGGAGGATTGGTGGTGGAGCTTGAGGAAAATTATGTGAAGGAAGGAGAATCTAGGAATATGAGTGTAACATTATTTTAACTTTTAACAGATCTCATTGTAGATCTCAATAGTGGAGGAGTATTGACTGTAATCTTAGAAGAAAAAAAATCAATTTAAGTATTTCTTTTATAAGTATAGTATGTATAAATTAATTTCTACATTTAATGACAAAATTATATAATAATTTTGAAACTTAAACCATCATATTCAATTTTGTTGTAATGAATTTGAAAATACTATATACAGAAATTCATTGGTTCTTAGAGTTACAATACTTGCAACCGGATGCTTAATGATCTCGAACATCACTTAAGAAATATAAGAAAATCCTTAATTTTTGTTTATTTGTTCTTGTTTTCAAGGTTGTAAATTCTCGACCAAAAGGAAGGAATTGAATTAGGTGTTACCAATCTATAGTTGAAGAATCTAGTTGAATGTTCTGTATGTTTTAGAGTGCATTAGCTCTTTAGTGGAGCTTGATCTTTATTTATGCACCTCCTCAAACATAAAGTGACATCAACAGTGGTTTCTTGGTTCTTTCCGTAATATAGGACCAAAAGAATGGCAAAAGCAAAACAGCGGCCTTTAAATACAGCCCTTGTTCCCTCTCAAGATAGTTGGTTGATTGGTTCCGACGCTGTCTCCTCCTTCTTCGAACAAACAATCCTATCCAAAGCATGATGCAGATCAGCTCCACCCTACCAGCGCAGAACCTCCACATGTTCCAAACACGACGCAACAGCTTCCGATGCCGAGCCTCCCCTCTGAACCCTTCCACAACCCCACCACCACCACCACCAACAACAACTACTACAACTTCTCCTCAGTCCATGAAACCCCTCACTTCAACCGACTCCACGCGCCTGCATCTCTCCAACCTCGATAAACTCCTCCAGAAGCAGTCACCGCCACAACTCAACAACCACTTCAACCACCCACAACAACCCACCATTCAAAACAACAAAACACCGGAGAAGAAGGGAAAGAACGTCCTCCAAGGCCTCAACCTCGCTCGTCTATGGCCCGACATGAAAGCCACCGAAGAAATGTCGCCGCGCCACCTCAACCGCCTCCAGCGGTTACTCTCCAAGA